CAAAAAACATCTGAGCGGACCCCAACATTAACTGAGAGGACCCCAAAACCAGCCCAGGGAGCCCAAAAACCATTGGCTACAAAACAAAACCAGCCCCGGGGACCCCAAAATCATCCGAGGGGAGACAAAACCAGCCCCGGGGACCCCAAAATCATAAGAGGGGAGACAAAACCAACCCCGGGGACCCCAAAATTCATCCAAAGGGACATGAAACCAACCCCAGGGACCCCAAAATTCATCCGAGGGGAGACAAAACCAGCCCAGGAACCCCGAAAATCATCCGTGGGGACACAAAACAAGCCCAGGGGACCCCAAAATCATCTGGGGGACCCATAAGCCATGCTGGCAGACCCAAAAAACATCTGAGTGGACCCCAACATCAACTGAGCGGACCCCAGAACCAGCCCGGGGGACACAAAATCAACCGAGGGGGCACAAAAGCAGCCCAGGGGACACCATAAATCATCCGAGAGGACAGAAAAGCAGCCCGGTGGACCCCAAAAATCATCTGAGGGGACACAAAAGCAGCCGGGGGACCCCAAAAATCATCCGAGGGGACACAAAAGCAGCCTGGGGGACCCCAAAAATCATCCGAGGGGACCCAAAAGCCATCCTGGCAGACCCAAAAAACATCTGAGCAGACCCCAGAACCAGCCCGGGGGACCCAAAATCATCATGGGGACCCCAAAGCTACCCGGGAAGATCCAAGAATATTCTGAGAGAACACAAAAATACCCTGAGGGACCCACACATCATCTAAGGGGACCCAAAAACACCCTGGGGGATGCCAGAATCACCCGAAAGGACACAACAACCACCCTGGTGGACCCCAAAATCATCCAAGGGGACACAAAACCACCCCAGGGGACCCACAAATCATCTGAATGTACCCCAAAATCATCTGAGAGGATACAAAACCACCCTGGGAGACCCCAAAATCATCCAAGGGGACACAAAAATCACCCTGGAGGACCCACAAGCCATCTGAGGGGACCCAAAAAACACTTGAGGGGACCCCAAAATCATCCGAGAGGACACAAAAGCACTGCAGAGGGGCCCAGAAATCACGAGGGGACCCCAAAACCATCGTAAGGGTCCCCAAAAGCCACCCCGGGGACCCCAAAACCATCTGAGGGGACCCAAAGCCACCCCAGGGGACCCAAAAAATATCCGAACAGACCCCAACATCAACTGAGAGGACCCCAAAACCATACCAAGGGTCCCCAAAATCATGTGACATGACCCAAAATCTATCCTGGGGGTCCCAAACATCTGAGAGGACCCCAAAAATCAACTGAGAGGACGTAAGTCACCCTGGGGTGACCTACACAACAGCTGAAAGGACCCCAAAAGCAACCTACGGAGACCCCAACATCATCTGAGAGCACCCCAAAACCATACTGGGGGACCCCAAAAATCAACCTGTGGAGACCCAAACATCAACTGAGGACCCCAAAACCATCTTAGAGGACCCGAAAGCCACCTTGGCGGAACCTAAAAATCAACTGAGGGGACCCAAAAGCCACCCAGGGGTGACCTATACAACAGCTGGAAGGACCCCAAAATCATCTGAGGACCCCAAAACCACTCCAGGGGACCCCAAAAATCATCTGATGGGACCCAAAAGCCATCCTAGGGGACCCAAAAATCAACTGAGGGGACCAAAAGCCACCCAGAGACCACCCCAACCTGTTTGAGGTGGTTGACAGTGGGGGGAGGGAGGGGCAAAAAATCATCTGAGGGGGACCCAAAAGCCATCCTGGGGGTCCCAAACAACATCTGAGAGGACCCCAAAAATGCCACCAGGAAGGACCCAAAAATCACCCTGAGGGTGGCAAAAAATCATCTGAGAGGACACAAAAACAACCTGCAGAGACCCAAACATCAACTGAGAGCACCCCAAAACCATCCAGGGGGACCCCAACATCATCTTAGAGGACCCAAAATTCACCCTGGGGATCCCAAAAGCCACCCCGGGGGTGACCTATACAACATCTGAAAGGACCCCAAAAGCAACCCGCAGAGACCCAAACGTCATCTGAGAGGACCCCAAAACCATCTGAGGGGGCCCAGAAGCCACTCCGGGGGACCCAAAAAACATCTGAACAGACCCCAACATCAACCGAGAGCACCCAAAGCCATTCAAGCGTCCCCAAAATCATCTGAGGGGACCCAAAATCTATTCTGGGGGTCCCAAACAGCATCTGAGAGGACCCCAAAAATCAACTGAGAGGATCCAAAAGCCACACCGAGGCGACCTGTACAACAGCTGAAAGGACCCCAACATCATCTGAAGACCCCAGAACCACTCCAGGGGACCCCAAAAATCATCTGAGGGGACCTAAAAGCCATCCTGGGGGACCCAAAAAACATCTGAGCGGACCTCAACATCAAATGAGAGGACACCAAAACCATCCCGGGGGACCCCAAAATCATCTGAGGGGACCCAAAAGCCACCCTGGGGGATCCCAAAATCATCTGAGGGGACCCAAAGGCTACCCCGGCGTGACCTATACAACATCTGAAAGGACCCCAAAAGCAACCTAACGGAGACCCAAACATCACCTGAGAGGACCCCAAAACCATCCTGGGGGACCCCAAAATCATCTGAGGGGACCCAAAGGCCACCCTAGGGGACCCCAAAATCATCTGAGGGGACACAGAAGCCACCCTGGGGGACCCAAAAAACACCTGAGCGGACCCCAACATCAACTGAGAGGACCCCAAGGCCACCCTGGGGGATCCCAAAATCATCTGAGGGGACCCAAAGGCCATCCTGGGGGACCCCAACACCATCTGAGGGGACCCAGAAGCCACCCCAACCTGTTTGAGGTGGTCGACAGTGAGGGGCAGGTGCTGCAGGGTGAGGAGGATCTGCTGCAGGAACGGGACATTGTTGGAGGCTTTGGAACCGGTGAGCCAGGTGTTGAGCAGCTTGTAACCTCCGATGCGGATAAACCTGGGGGACAAGAGGGGAAAATCCCTCAGGATCTGGCCAAAACGGGGGTGAACTCCCCCCAAACTCTCTGCCTCCCCTCCTCGGCCCAGGCTCTTACTTCACCAGGATGTCCTGCGCCCGCGTCTGCAGCAGGATGTTCAGGTAGATGCAGCGACTCACCATCTTCTGCGAGTCCTTCATTAAGCTAATTAACGAGAACGCAGGGTTTTAGCCCCTACCCCAGGGTCACGTGACTCCGGGAAGGGGCGTTTTGGGGACTCACTTGAAGATTTTGGTGATGCCCTCCACGCTCTTGACCTCGCCATCACGGCCCAGGAAGCAGTCCAGGCCCTTCAGGAGCTCCTTGGGGTCGATGGGGCCGGAGCCCATGGCAGAAA